ATGCAGCTCTGGCCTTCCTCATTACAGTATGGGTCAGGGACTATGGTTATTCCCTTCAGAGCAACTTTGCTTTCTGCTTTTCCCACCGCTTGGTTTCCCTTTACAAGCCTGGCGCAAAGACAGGCTTTTCTTACCCGGGAAGCTCTCCGTGTTTTCCAGAGGAAGCGTATAACAGAGTTCACCCCGCTTCTGCCCTTTGAGCACAGCATCAGGGATGTACTGCCTGACCAGGGATGATGTGAGCTCAGGGTCACACAGGTCATTTATGCGTATCCTGTTTGTTATCAAAAAGCAATTGCTATAATATTAAATGAGGGGAAAAAAAAAAAAAAAAAAAGCGCATGCACCATCCGTTTAAAATACAAAGTCGTTCCTCAAGCCATAGGGAAACCTCCAAACCTGGGCAGCATTTCAGCGGGAATTTTTATAGACATCTGCCAGTGCCCCTGGTTTTGCCATGCATGTAAGAAATAGTTGAGGTTAGCAATAATCATCCTGGCCAGTGCCGCTAAACCAAGAACACAGACATTAAAATCCAAAGAAAATCACATTAAAGCTGCTGTACGTCACTCTGGCACCGCAGCGTACGTGGAAATAGCAATTCGTCTTGCTCTGGTCCCCCTCTGGCTGCGAAGGAGGTTGCAAAGTCATTTTAGCTACATGCTCAGAGCTTTCAGGGTTGGGTTCCAAAGAAAAACGGCTTGCTATCCAAAGCAAGATGTTTTTGGCAGCCTCAAAAGTCTTCTGAAATGAACGGTCAAGATTTCTATTACTTTATACAGAAATTCTATAGAGACGCAGACTCTGCATGAAAACACTCACAGCAACGAGAAACTTTCCATAAAAAGAGTGAGGACCAAAAGGAAGAGGGTTTACCTTAAGTGATAGCCAATTCCCCATTTTCTCTTCAAGTACAGAGACGAGCCAACACACTGCAATGTCCCATTTGAGAGGAAAGCTTTCCGATCTAAGGGGGAAGGAATACAAAGGATTTAGGGGGGATTTACAACAGTGCAGTAAACTGACCTCACGCTGCTCCTTCTGAACTCAACAGATATTTTCAGAATGAAGTCGAGAGGACTAAAACCAGGGCAGTGCTGAAGATTATTTTCTTCTTAAACTGCTGCCTTTCTCCCAAGCGTCAAGGTTAATCTTTTAATTATGCACTTTTACAGGCTTGTGGAAAATTTCCCGTGCAGCCCAGGAGTAATAAGGCAACAGGAGAGGTATTCGTTCAAATAATATCACTAATTTTTGTGGGTGCTGCTAGTGGTATATCCCGATAATATGCAACTGCTTCATCCTGAAGCAGAGCACAAGCTTGGAGGGTCACGCCAGCCTTTGCTCAGCTTGGGGTGGGTGGTCGCGATCAGACAAAACGGGTCCAGCGAGCACGGACTGTGGGCTCGTTTGCAAACCATCATTAACCGCAGTGTGAAAATCTGGGCTCACCAGCATGAGCATCAGCCTCCTCCATGGACTGGGTCGTGAAGAGCGTCACGCGTCCAGCCTGGCGCTCCTTCAGAAGGCTCCACACGTGGTGCCTGGAGCAGGGATCCAAGCCGGCCGTTGGCTCGTCTAAAAACAACACCTACAAAGGTGAACAAGATCAGATCTCCGCCCGTTCAAGCCGGCAATTCTGCGTTTACATCATTTCATTTTGATGATCTCACTCTTAAGAATAAAATTCATCCTCAAATATCAGCTGGTTTTATTGCTCTTTCTTCTGTTACGATATTATTCAGAGATTCCTCAAGCATTCTGGCAGCCAAGCGAACGAGTAGGTCAGCCGACTTGGAGTACCAGAGGAAAAGTACAAATCTCTGCATGCCAAGACAAAAATGCAAAGCTATGTGCTAAACCAGGACACGTTTTGTGTGTGTAAACACGATCGGTCCCTACCTGGGGATTCCCTAAAATTGCAATTCCAAGAGACAGTTTTCTTTTTTGTCCCCCACTCAAAGTATCGGCGTGAAGGTCCTGAAGGTTGGTGAGATCCAACATCGCAAGAACTTTCTGCACCTTGGCAATAGGCAAAGACAAGATTTCCACAGCACTGGTCACTTTTTAATTCATAAATGGCTATCACACAGTACAACAGAGTATAACTTCAAGATTTAAAAGTTATTTATTTGAAATGGCTTTGCTTAGAGATAAATACTGCAAATCTGAATTCTAACTCTTTTATAACATGAGGATAGGAAAGAGCTGAAAAAAACCCACTTCTTCCATAAATTAAGGTTGTTGTGATTTCCAGAAAACAAGATGCTAGCGCTAATATTTGATAAAGAAAGCTCAGACTGGCCAAGATGCCATAAACCAGAGCGACTGACAAGCACACACCAACCTCTTGCTCTACTTCCTTCTGCTGAATCCCCTTGATGTGAGCAAAAGTTCTCAAGTTTTCCTTCACCGTTAAGGCTTCAAAATGCAAATTAAACTGGGGGCAAATCCCAATCATTCCCCGAATTTCTTCCATATCCCATAGTTCAGAAACACTGTAGTTGTATATCATTGCAGAACCTGTACGCAGGAATGAATGAATCAAATTTTACACAGTATCTCCCAGTCCCAAGGGGAAAGCAAACTGCTTTGTGGTCATACCTTTGACATTAATTCCAGCATCGGGGATGTTTCTCAAGTCGTTTTTTTTTTTAAAAAAAAAACAAAACCCCAAAAATACGCAAAAAACAACTTTGTGTTGTCCAAAGCTTTGATACCACTCAAAAATATTTCAGACCGTCAAATTTCTGCCTTAAGAACTAAAACGTATTTCCTATAGGTACGCTGCTCATGGAAAACGTCAGGCCATCCAGATGGAGAACCAGCCAGCTGTGGATGCTCGCACGCATGAGCGCATCCACAGAGGATGCATTAGCCCCGAAGCTCATGTTGGAGAATCTGCCCTGACAACAAACCGGATTGAATGACTGAGGGAAAACTTGGGGGGTTGCATCTTTACCCCCTTACACTTGAAAAAACCAAACAGTTTCTCCTCTTCAGCCTTCAGATCCATCATCTTACCTGCTGAAGGCTTGGAAAATCCACTGAGCACATTTAAGAGAGCAGTTTTTCCAGATCCACTGTGACCAAGTAATGCAGTGATCTGGCCTTCGTATATATTTAAGGACAAACCTAGAGTAGAAAGAGGATAACGTTAGGATGCTTTGTGAGAAAGAGACTCGTACCTGTGGCTTGCTGCCAAGTACGACAGAGGAGTGACATTTCTTTTGAAGCTGAGAGGCAAAAACACAGATCCAGAAACATGGGTTGCATCTTCAGGAGTTAGGACTAACCTTACTAAGGAACTTGCAGTCATGTCGTGATTGAACAACTTGATTAATTTCGATATTTAAAGAATTCTGACTTCTGTTTTCTGCAAGGTTCATAACCTTTCATTTTAGCGTAGCTCAAGAGAGATCCAGAGGAAGAGGAGGCCCAGAGCCTTTCCAGCGTGTGCAATTTCAAGAGTTATTTCCAAGCAGCCAGACTTAGCCACCTCATTTTCTTGTCTTTTTTATTTTTTAATACTTATTTTTTATTTTTTGTGGATTGTTTGGATTTACTCAATATAAACCTTTGAGACCATATTGATACTTTCACTGTCACTTGGAGTTAAATAAAGGCGTTTAACAAATATCCCACAACTATGCTTTGATTATCCCAACTACTTGCAGTCGACAGACGTGCAAGTGCTTGGTGAACATGGCTCAGGCAGCGACAGCAGAATTGACTGTAGCCAGGAACCAAAATACCAAGTTTTGTTTGCCCAAAATAGTTTACATTTTGAAAGGGAGGTTTAAAAAGGGATTTTTAGAGTGGGTCACAGCTGCAAAACCGCAGCTTTTAAGGACACTTCTGCTGTTGCGAAAATAATAAATAGTAATTTTCCTGGAGTGAACAGGAGGATAACAACCTGGTAGAAGTTTGCCAGTAATTTACCCCGGCAGAAATAACCGTTGCATAATATATTTTAGCAGTGTGGAGGCAGAATTAAGTACATCCAGAACATTTCAAAACAGTTTGGGTTCATATCTAGTGAAAAATGACATTAAAAGCATTACAAAACATCTCTTACCCCTTAAAGCTTCAGTTGTCTTGCTGCCCTTCTTGTATATTTTTTTAATATTGTTTAGTCTAAAGGAAAGCAAGCAAGCCGTTACTATTGAATCTCACAATTTTGGCATGTTTCCTCTGCCTCAAAATAACCTTTGAAAAACTATTGGAAGAATATTTCTCAACCTTCTCCTCAAACCCATCCAGCAGAATTAGCTAATTGCTTCTCTAAAAGATGTTTAAAAAAGTTTCAAAGTCAAACTCAATAAACATTCAGTGAATGAAGCAGGAAGCCCTAGGGAATGAGATAATACGTGGTTATATAATTAAAAGCAATGATCTAGCTATTATTTTAGCGTATTTATATTTGCTTTCTAGTAATAAGCAACAGCGGTGGGCCTTTCGAGCCCGGTGAGGATGTAAATAACAGCATCTTATGCAGCACCTTCCACCCGCAGTGTTCTTAAAGATGACAGCGAAGGGGAACAGACTCACTGCTGCTGCTCGTGGGGCAGCGAGCCGGTCCCTGGCACAGAGGATGCACCGCATCCAAGAAATGGTCAAACCCAGCTCCGGAGGGGAATGAAACCGTCCCTCTCACATATTTGCCATTCAGCTTATCTGTACACGTTAGATGGCCGAGTCCAACGTTTACCAGTGCAATACAGCTGTGCTCTCCAGACTCCATTCTAATGGGCAGGGTTGTACTTTTCATGCCTACAGGAGTCTTTACCTAATTGCTTCCTTCCCATCGAAGCCTGGAGGCATCGGCTCGGTGTTATTCCTGGAGATGGGATCGTGGCTGCTCTCGCTGCCAGCTCGCAGCCCCACGTACCCGCTCCTGGGCTTGAACCAGTAGGAGGGTCTCAGGAAGAATGAAGGGGGATGTGGCGCTCCGTACTTGCCTAATTCCAAAACAGAGAAGGTGAGTTATCCACCCCAGCCCGCTATCTGTCAGTTCAACTTGGACAAACGCCATGTCCAGCCATCTCCTCTTTAGCTGCAGAATCCAGACTCTTAGCAGCGTAAAAAGGACGTCTAAGTTCTGCAGTATAAGTTGTCCACTCGTCCACGTCTGTAAATCACAGCAAAGACCTCACTGACTAACTCATTGGCCCCGAGCGTACAGGGAAATCAGGTCAAATCCTACAACATCCCTTTAAACCCAGTGCTTAGGGCCGTTGGAGTAGGATCTCAGCGACTTGCTGCAGGGTTTAACGTTCCTTTTGGAGCCTGTTTTTGAGGCAGGACCAAATGAGGTAGTGCCATGCACCCAGCTTCTGGGAAAACAGGATTCTTCCCGACCATTTCTTTTTCTGAGCAATACAGAAAATCTCGTTTTCACCCCTGTTGTAACGTGGCAAGGCTCATTGCTGTTAAGACGCCCTGCCACAACCTGACCAGTTTGCTACGGGGCCACTTTTTTTTTGTTGTTCCATGTAGATTAGTCTTCTCAGCTCTATCCTATAGCTCCTTTGGCAGCTTCCTCCCTATGAGGGGAGAGGATTATAGAGAAAAACGCAAAGAAATTTGTATTCTTTCTCTCACATTTCTACTTACCAGGCAAAACCTTATCAAAGTAGATGGCCAACAGCAAATACAAGACACTGTCAAGGCTCAGTATGACGTACAGATTAAAGAAAGGGTACAACTCTGGCGAAAAGGCTGGTCCATATTTTTCCATTTTTATTATCTAGGGGAAAAAAAAAAACAAACAAACAACACAAGTCAGATGCAACACTTCCTTTAGCCAGATACACTACGTGCAAGTCACTGCTGTGTCATCATGACTGTTTTTGCCAGAAGCCCACACCCGCTCCTGGTCACGGTGCTGTTTCTAAACAAGGCAACGTTTTATTACGACCACAAGTATCAGAAGTGCTTCAGTAAGGCTGAATTCAAAACTGTGCAGAAGTTACTAGCACGAGAAGAGTGACGCACACGCTATTTGCTAAGGCAGCACTTCAGGACCTCACGGTTCTTGCAGATCTTGGTACCCACCAGACACACCCCACTGCTGTGATAACTTTCCAGAGATCAGAATTTATTGTATGCACAAAGCTGGTCAAAACTGCGATGCACATGACAGTCCAACCGTATTTGTTATGAATTAGCACGTGCTTTTTGGAGTCAAGATTTCTTTTTACAAAGCGTCTAGGGCCGAGGGGTGCGACTGGGTCATTATGGCAATGAAAATCACATATGGCAGCTACTGTTATCTGGCATAAGTCTGCGTCGCGTTTGCCGTGGGCTCAACTTTTATGATGTGCTGCCTTTAATTTGAACATACCTTTGAGAAGCCAGCTGTAAAGGCAAAAGGACTGAAGAGATTTAAAATCCATTCCAAAGACTGTGGGAGTTTTTTAAACAACGTCAAAAAGCCCAGCAATCCGAAGATGATGTGAAGGACAAATCCCACAAAACTGGCAACATTCGGCTGCTTTAACAACGAGCTGAGCATGAAACAGAAGTGAATCTGCAACAGAGAAAAACAGTAGTTAGCAGGAGGCATTTCTGCTGGTGCTTAAAAAAAAACCCCAAACCAACATGAACATCCAACAAGGAAAATCAGAGACCCAGTTGAGTTTCAGTTGTCCCCTACAGATGCACATGGCACAGCACAAGGCTTGCATCATTTAGCAGGTAGCTCTGATATTTGGGGCAGGTCTGTAGGGGCAGAACAGATCAGATCCCTCTTGGCCTCTCGAGGAGGCTGGATGCAAGGAGGCAGCCCCAGCCTTCCCATTAACGCTGGTGTTGGCACCTCTCTTTACTCTGATTTCAAGCCTGAATCTCCCAAAGTGTGGTAGGAATGATGTATATTAGCGCGTGAATGATAACAATAAATCCCACTAGCGAAGTTTTTGTTAGTTTCTCATATAAAGCTCAGCCCTAGAGTACTCTGTGGTCTTTGAGTCGCAGGCGTTTTAATCAGGACATGGAAAAAGCTGCGCATCGTTTACGAACACAAAAGCAGACTTACAGATGCTACGCCATAAAAGAAATAAAAAAAATATATTTCAGCAAAGTTGTGATCATGGGTGACTTCTGTAATCGTGATCAGCGTCAGCAGACTCGCCGTTATTGAAATGTAAACGGTGTACAGCAAGCTCCAGGATAACCTACGAACGAAGGGCACAGTTACTTCTGCCTCTGCACACGACAGCGCTTGCCACGACATAGCCAATATAAGATACGCTCCTTTTAATTCAAATACTTCCTAATTCCGTGTACGTTTCCATTTAGTTTCCAGGCCAGAAAGGTGCAAACATCCATGTCTTGCACCTACCCAAACCTCTGCAGATGTAACGATGCCAGCAGAGAGCCACAGGGCATCTTAGCAGAGGCTCTGCAGCCAGAATCACTTATGCTTTTCCTCGTCAGGTGAAATTTTCATGCTCGGAGGCTTTGAAAGCCTGTTCTGCTAGACCCTATGTCCCTCCTGTGCTCCATCATTTTGCAATTTTCTCCAAAATTTATTGTTTCTTCTTCTTTTGTGTTCTCTGTGTGTATCCACCCATTTCCTGGAGGCAAGCACCACCTCACCCCCACGAACCTTGCTACAAGCATCTCGGCTACACCAAGAGCGCTCTTTATGGGGAAGGAGAGCAGAGCGAGGGATAGCAAACAGCAGCACCAACCGAAATCCTTTACGAGAGCAATGAGCTTGGAAACCGAGGTCCTCCAGCCAATGGTACGTCACAGATAACAAGCAGCAAAAGTTTTGCTCCAGCAACATGCAAAACTTGGCTTCAGAGAGCCCAGACGTCTGGTTAGGTGCTTGCACATGGCTGCTGCTGGGGTCTGGGGAGTTACTGCTCCTCGCCCGAGCGGTGGTGCCACAGAGCCAAGCTACTACACATCTTATACACATACAATAACATAATTCCTGTAGTTACACAGTTTATTTCTGTGAGACTTACCAGAATGCGATGTCTTGCAAACCCATTGCTCTCATTAATACCTTAAGCTTCTTTTTCTCTCTTATAACTTTCACTGATAAAAAGTACATATATGGGGAGAAGCACAATATAATGTAAATAATGAACCAAATATAATCCAGTTTATACACAGGTTTGATCAAAGGTGATTTCAGACGAATGCCACTAATTGACTTCATCTCTTCCCAGACGGAATGGTTTGTTTTCACCTAGAGAAATTAGCCATTAATTTGAATTTCTGTAATGAAACAGCTGACATCAGAACAAACAGCCTTTCATAAGCATTAAACTTACTAGCTTGTCAATAACAGTGTTATATTTATAAGTGGTAAATAACCTCAATATTTAGGTTTTTTTTTTTTGGTGTTGCCTTGTAATAAACACTAACACCTCCCTGAGCCATGAGAATGATCTATCAGTCTTTTAACTTTTGAATTATATTATGTATTAAAAAAGTTAATGATCACTTAACCCACCGGCTGGTGGTGTTGTTTTTTTTTTTTTTTTTTTTTTTTTTTTTTGGTTATTTCTTTTAAGTTTACAGATAACTCTAGAAAGAACACAAAGCATGTTTTTCTATCTCATGATCATACTCACTTCTATGACCGCTGCATCAACGCTGGACTGCACTGATAGGAAACCCGCATACCAGTATGACGGAATTTTGCAGTAACTCGATGAAAAGTTGAAGCAGGTATCTGTGGAAAAGAAAAAAAAAATTTTTATCTATATATTTCCATATATACTGATATGTAATTGTGGGGTTGAAAATGTATTCGACCTAAGAGTCAGGAAATCAAGATTTAGTTTTACTCAGTCGTTTTCCTGAAGCTGCCACTTTTCTCCAAGAATAATGTGGTATTGGGAGCTGATGACTTTGGTTCTTTGGTCTTAAAAACTTTTTTTTTTTTTTTTTTCCCTCTGGCATATCTTTCCTTCTAAGTGAACAAACCCTCAAATTCTAATTAATATCTTTCTTGAAGCATTTAGCGCATACAGCCTCGATCCCTTCCGAGTGACATGGCAGCCGAGATCCATCTAAGCATTTTTTTAATGTCAAATCAAGTTCTCTGGTTTCTTTTATTTTGTTACCGATGTGTTCATAGGCATCATTTGGAGGCAGCACATTGTAGCTTTGGAATCTGAGATGGTAGGAGAAGTCATCCTTAAAAACAACACCAATAATGTCTTCCTCGCCAGTTCCTCTTGTTTCCATTTTTTTCTCATTTTCCACCTCTTCTATTATTATACCTGTGATTAAAGAAAAAAAAAAAATAAAACCACCACAGTTGAAACTTTGATTAGTCACGCAACAACATAAAAACGGGCATCAGCCACAATTTGTACCCTCAAAAACTGTGAAATCGGGTTCTCCAAATGCTTTTCTCCCCCCACCACAATGAAGGGGGACTGTAGCAGGGTCAGTTCAGACAGTGCAGCTGTGGCGAGGGTTTAAGAGCAGCATTACCCGTCAGTGCAGAGTCTGAAGCCACTTTGCTCATTATTCGCCTGGTGGTGTTTGTCACAGGTGTGTAGGCGAGTGTCACTCCCGTGGCGTTGAAAGCTGGGTCATCTAATCGGCCAAGGAAGTCGTAAGGAATTTCTTGCCGTGGGTAGTGGAATATCAGAGTTGATGATGTTTGTATGATTAAGAGAAAAATCGCCAGTGTGATCCACTCCTAAATGAGAGGAAGGAAATGCAAAGGTGAGTGGCAGCCCAACCGGAGGTTGGGTGGTAAATGTCTTCTAGGACCTTCTCGTCCAGCCCTGAGCGGGCTCCACAGCCCAGCTCCTCCAGCCATCAATGCCTTCTTTCTGCAAATGAGGAAGAGCTGTTTCACAGGTGTAATAATTTTAAGAAACGAGGAATGTTCCAAGTGAAAAACATGTTTTCTTAGTACCGGAGCCAACAAGGTCTGCTGATAATTCTACACTCGTAATCATGAATTGGACATTGTGTTCCTCTGGACAGTGCAGAAAGGGGATCAACAACCAAAAGCAACAAGGCGTCTTTGTAACAAGTCCCTCACTATGCTGCGAGACTGTAGTGTCACAGGAAGAAGTGAAACTGCTGACATTTTCCAGAGAACCGCATTACCAGCTGAGGCTTCTCGTATATCACCTAGCATAAAAACAATGCAACGTAAAAATACTTTGTAGTGGAAATCCTAACCTCCCTCGGGAAGAACTAATACTTGCCTGAAAACTTTCTGTTTTCATCCTCCACGTCAGAAGAATATTTTTCCATAGTAGAGCGCGGGTTTGCTGAAATATTTTTGAGGCTCTCTTGAACATGCCCTGCATTTTCCCACCTAGGATGAGAAAGAAAATAATTTAGAATAAAAGAGATGTCTGGAAGTTAATACATTTACTTGGGTAGAGACCACTTCTGATGAAGCCAATAACATGCCAAAGGTTAAGAACTCCTCCCTGGTTTACAGTGTGGACAATCAGGGAGAATTTCAGATGAAATAGCCCAAGATCATGCAAGGGAAAGAGAGCTTCATGGGGCTCAGCTGCCTCTTCCACATGCACAGACTCATCCTCCTTCGTCCCAAAGAGGCTTTGTAGCATGAGGCATTCAACTGGCTGCAGTTTGAATCTTCATCTACACAAAATTAACAACAGAAAAGCCAGTCTGCCCTGTACTAAAAATGTGAGAAGGTTGAACGGCATGTAGAGGAAAGGAGACAAAAATTCTAATTTTCTTTTTTAATGCAGTTATTCAAAATACTTAAACCATACACGATCTCCATGATTGGCAGCAACAGCATCAAGTCCAGCTCGTCAGAGCAGTAGCTCTGGTTTATGCCTCGGGTGCCGCAGTTCTTACAGTGAATTTATGTCTTGCTTTAGACACGTGGTTTGCTGGCAAAGCCACCGCTCATCTGCTCTAGATGTTGTAACTAGACCCTAAAACATCCCCACTGCATGCAACCCCTCTCCCCACATCACCTATAGGGAGAAGGCAGCTGCAACCCAGGAGGCCAAGTTAGAAACGCTGGTTAGATGCTAGAAGTAGCCGAAAATAGATGCTGCCACCTTCTCTCGTAAGCAGGCTGCTGAGAGGTCAGTTTGTTCTGTTTTCACCCGAACGCCAATAGAATTAATTACGACTCTAGTATAGCCAGAGCAGGGCAGCATTAAACCACCGATGCGTTTCTTTATATCCTCCTAAATACTGAGCAGAGAGTATTTATTTGGGATGTTTTTACGGGCAATATTTATTTCAGCTCCAACTTAGGTCACGTGGCCAAGCAGCAAATATCCCGGGCAAGAACAACAGCAATTTCAGGGCGACTGGTTTCGTGACCTTCCCAGAAGGAGAGCAGGGGAGGGAACCTCAGAACATGTTTTTGTATTTTAATCCTTTAAAATGGCTGAAACCAAAAATCAAAGCAACCTCAAACACATAGTACTCTTTTCCCCTTGGACATTATTTCCTGATTTCGTGGATTGGGCAGCTGGAGTTAATAAACGTTTCTACTACTCTGTTCCCTTCATTGTTTGTTTTTGGAAGAATTAAATATTTGCGTACTCCAGGGGCGATGGATCCAGAATCCTTGTTTACCCTCCAACTGTTAGCACAGGCTTATCACCCCAGTGCTCTGCTTTCCCTGCCTGGAGCTTTCTCCCGTGCTTCCCCACCGCAGACTACAATAAAGGTTAAAGGCAATTTAGGAAGGGATTTCTAGGAAGTGATACTTTTCTTTTTTCTTTCTTTTTTTTTTTTTTTTTTTGATTTCAGTCACTGAACTAAAACCAGCAGCCCAGCCCGGGATGTTGAGGCAGTAAACAAAGGTTCACACAGGAGTGTTTGGTCAACATGGAAAACATGATGATGGTCATGTAAAAAACTGCTCTGAGTATCTACAGACGTAACAAACACTTCATTAAAAAAATAATGGAGCAAATCTAAAACTTTTTCGGAAAATTCCAGCTAAATTTCTACCAGTTTTAATCTAGTTATTGCCTGTGGAGCAAGAAGCAAATACCACTGGAAGCTGAAACACGCAGCCAGAAATTCAAACAAGTGATGCTGCCTACAAATGCAGCACGAACTTCATCAGGGAGAACTTTTCAATTAGACACCGAAAGACACAAAACGTTGAGTAGGAGAGATGCCTCTACAAGACCTACAAAACCTCAGGCTCAGAAGACAAAAACCAAACATCAGAGGCTTGTTTGGAGGCAACAGTGTTTGAAAAGATTGAATCCAGCTCTGAGCATCACTTGTAAGATCAGGTGTCCCCGGAAGCATTTCCCTCCCGAGGGCTCAGTACCTGCCCCCCAAACTTCGTGCTCTCCAGGAACACCATGGCACCATGATTAACTTTTACTGGGATCCCGGGTCTGGCTCTGCTATACCAAATATTGTCCCAGGAAGGCGTGTCCCATATAACCACTTCATTTATTTACTGTCTCAGTGATTTCCCACTTGGCACCTCCTCAGATTACTTTTTTTTTTTTTCCCCCCCCTCTAACAAAAACATAACGGAGCATATGGTGACAGATTCCTAAAAGCAAGTTGCTCTTCGGGAGCAGTGGCAGGAACCTCTTGATGCTGGCTGTGGAGAGAACAATGTGAGCTGCATCTCGTGCTTCCCAGAGGAGCTGCTGGCATTCCAAGAGCCAGTGATTTATCCCTGTGGGTGGGGAGCGCCGAGGTGAGCGTGCCCTCTCCGTTTTGCCTGTTACTGCAAACATAAAAACTGCATCTTGCCCCAGCGCAGCCCTGTCCTTAATTCCTGGTAAATACGAGACAGATTTGTACTGCTTCTATGCTAAAACACACAGTTTTTATAACAGGTTTTGGTTTTTTTGTTGTTGTTTTTTTTCCCCTGCTCTTGAGAAAAACAGCTCTAATCCCACCCTGTATCAAAGTTCAACACTTTAATTCATACAGAGAAGTGAAATTTGGGGGTCAGTGCTTTTAGAAGCCTTTATTGGTGATAGCAAGGCTCGAGGAGGGGGAGTGAAGGGAGGGATCAATTAGCTGGGAGGACCCAGCACTCAATCTGTGGCTCTTTGCCTAAAACCAAAGTGCATCAGCAGCAAGAATCAAAATACACACACACACCCAGAAAAGCAGAATAGTTTTGCTCCTTTGCCTCTTAAATATTTTGATGCAAAGCTCAACGTCTGCCAGAGAGTAGAGCTGGAAAGTAACGCTGTTATACATTCAGCATAACGCTGTATTAAAAAAAAAATAAAAGGGAAAAAAAAATTATCACCAAACACAACCCCTGCGTGAAAATACCCTAGGTATAATTTTTCACTTAACAAAAGAGAAATATGAAACTCCATACCTGAGGATGTGTTTTCCATTAGGAAGATGTCTCCTGCAGCTCTGGGATGTCTGGGCTCTTCATCTCCTTGCAGTCCTGGAGAGGGTTCAAATGCTGTAGCCCAGCCCGATGGCCATGCCCCTCTCCAGCCTGACGTCAGATTCCCGGCCCGGCCGCGCAAACACTCTCAACGCTTCTGCAGCGATGACACAACTGGGGAGCAATACCTACAACCAGCTGGCCTAGAGCTTGCAGATATTAACACTACGTTTTGCGGTATTTAATATGACACGTGCGTTGCGTGCAATAGAACAGCCTATTTCTGCCAGGCTTGCAAGTCCCGGGGAGAGCAGCAGCAGGACAGCTGCGTGCCCTGAGACGGGGCAAACGCGATGCAAAGCGACCTCGTCCCTGCCCGAGCGTCTCTGGAGGGAAAACTTCACCGTCTTCTCCTCATCTTGCTCAGAGCCTGAGTCAGCAAGCAAGCACTCCTTCCTCTGCAGAGGTGAATCCCTCAGCCAAGGACCAACGGGATTTTTATTTCTTGTTTCTCATTTCCCCTTTGTTTTTAATTTTTTTTTTTTTTTTTTTTTGTTCAGTTTCCACTCCTTTTAATTGCTTTTCCAGCAGCTGCCACACAGCTGGAATCAGGATGAAGTTTGTTAGGTTTTGTTTTTTTGTTTTTTCAAAAAAAGGGCTTTCCAATGGATCTGCATTCAAAACAGGGAGGTGAGAAAAATCAGATAAGCCAGGAAATCCGAGTGAGTTGGAAGAGTGTACTGCCACACGATAACTCAACTTGTTAGAGGAATTTGACTGTCCTGGAACTTCAACAGCTTGAGGACACTGCGTCTGATTTGCAGAGTTGACTAAAAACACAAAAGCTGCCTGGTTGTTGCTTAACAAAAGGCCGCAGCTCTTCTGCAGCTGCCGATTTACTCATTTTCAAGGAATGTTCTCATTTAGGAGAGGAGCAGAGAGTTTTCCTGCATCACTTCCCATTGGGCAACAAGGGAGAAATGGGGAAGGCTACTCGTAACTGCAAAAAGCACATCCAAGATGCACTTCACTAAAGAAATACTACTTTTCTGAGGCATACCCCGTGCCACAGTGTTCTCGAGTACCTGGTGTATGTGGAGCCCTGGCATGCCAGCACTTTATCTACAGAAAACGCATTTTAGCATAAAAATGACACCTGCTCCGAGCAGTCCTCGGGGTTCCCCGTGCTGTGCACTGGGTGCTCCTCCTGGCTCTGCTGCTCTGTGGAACCCCAGCCCAAGTCCTTTAAAGGAGACAGCATCTCAAAATATCATTCATTAAACCCCCAAGCAGTTGCTCCACAGGATTTGTGAGAAGGGGACTGAGGACCAGCCTTGCAGCAGCCCCATGTATCTACCAGGAGGAGGAGAGGGGCTGGGGATGGAGCCAGCACCCCCCGAGGGGGACACTCCAAGCAAGGCGTTTCAGGAAAAAGGAGAACTGAAAGCTCCAAGAAACCCTTATCAAAGAGAAATTAGCATGCTAAATCAGGGCTTTTCTGAAGATCTCTTGAAGCATTACAAGGGAATGAATTAATTTTACAGCTGAAAAAAAAAAAAAAGTATGCTGTCCTGCTGCCCTGAACACACCATGAAAGAAAAACTAGTACGAAACTTTCACTAAGTTAAGTTTTTATTCCTCCCCCCCGCCCCAATCCCCCCGAGGGATCCAGGGAGCACAAACCCTTTTTGTTTCACTAGGTTCTTAACTGTCCTACAGGGCTGGAGGTGGACCTCCTCTTCCTCCTCCTCCTCCTCCTCAGCAGTGGGTCAGGCTGGGAGCTGGCAGCTTACTTCATCCCTGTAGAGCAGGGCTTTGCTTTCCAGCCTCAGCCAAACCTCTCAGCAGCAGCATTTCACCACCCCTCACACCAGAGAGTGCACCCATCCAGCCACCCAGCGAGTTCGTCTTGGACACGAATCCAACCAGAAAAATGACTTTTTTTTTTTTTTTTTTTTTTTTAAACAATGGGGTTAATTTTCAAGTGGATGAATGTGATTCATCCCTGCAGATGCACGACATGGAATGCCAAGGAGCACGCAGCTGCCACAAGGTCACTTCTAGCCCAAAGTTGGGCTGAATAAATCTGGCTGGAAACATGACACAACTGTGGGCAGTTAAATCCCAAGTGTTGAAACACTGCGATTCCTTGAATTCAATTAAAAAAATGCACTTACTGCAGCCTGACACCCCCTGCCATGCCGAGAGCCAGGCCCCCCCATGCTCTGCCCGAGCCCCAGCGCACCCAGGGAACAGCAAAGGCTGTTGAAAACAATCGCAGCAAAACACACGCGCGATAGAAACACAAGCCCTTAACAATCCAATCCATCTTTATTTTGGTAGTATGTTCTGCTGGAAAAGGAAAAAAAAAAAAAAACAACAAACCTCGACTTTACAAATACAGCAAAGTCATAAAAGACAGACAGGTGTATAAAATAAATGGCAAATGATTCAAAGTGCCTGATGGCAGCATCAGGAGAAGCGTTTACAAACGTGCCACCTTCAGACCCAATATCTTCCGTTTCTGCTGCCAGAGTACTGGATGTCGGCTACACAACAGACTTCACTCAACTACACATATATTTTTTTTTTTTAAATAAGGGTTTTTCTTAATAATGTAAACAAAACCGGACACATTAAATTCCTCCATAGAAAAATACAACCTTGTAATAACACCACAAAGTAAATGCATCTTCCAGGTTTTGGATATACTAGCTAAACACTTCTCACAACCACCCTGCAAGGTAACCAAAACCATTACACCTGGGAAGGGTGGCACAAACTGAATGGATTTGCCCCCAAGTCCCACAATCAGCCCCAGTCCAGCTGCTTCATCTCTCTTTTCCCTCCTAGAGCACAAACCGGGTGTGTGTATTGTACGGCTGGGATTTGGCATGTCACTGATAACAGCCGAACAAAAGAGACTTAAAACTGCAGGAATAAAGCTCTCAGTTTCTAGGGGATTCTCTGGTTTCATTTTGCATGTGTTTTTCCCTATTCTGGCAATTACGGACATTGTATGACACTCTGAAAGACTTCTGATACAACACACGACGATTAGCGATGTTCTGGGGGCGCATCTTACGCCACACTGACACACAATGTCACCACACCAAAGAGATCCCACCCAAATGCTCAGGGAACCAGCCAACTTCTTTGTACGTGTAGCTGCATAAATACAGTGCCACCACCAACTGGATTACTCCAGGGGAAACAAGAACGGTCAACAAGAACAGTACCAAACCGAGCAAAACTAATGGAAGTTTTCACACGACCCATCTGAAATGTCAGAAAACAAGAAATTAATTTGAAATAGGGTGATGCCATCCGGACAGTACAGAACTATTTTACAGACTACTGACTCTAAGTAAGAAAAAAAATAAAAAGAAGACATCAAGGTCGCAACTGTACCTTCATCAGTTCGGGTGAAAAGAGTGTGCTGTACGTTGCTGGACATACATGCAGATGACACTCAGCTGAAACACCATTTACAAAGAGAGACGGATGTAAGAAATGTGGGATTTGGAGAAGACGCACTTAACTTGTACACGCACACATGGGAAAGTATCATGAGACGAATTTCTGGGTCCCACCTTTGCTCCAAATAAAGGAAAATGTTCAGATACTGGCCAGCAACAGGGATGCAGCTGGGATCAAGGGGTTGGGGGTTCCCAGGGGCGAAATATAAGGCTGCATAAACAAAAGAGCTGAATTTGGATCGTTTTTGTTTTCTTACAGAGAAGCTTCAGCCCTGGAAAGACTGCTACTGGGGCTGCAGTTTAGAGGCTGGTGCTTTAATCCCATTCTTCACCTCTGTTTTTCTTCCAGCACAGGAGATCAGGGCACAGGCAAGTACCACGGCTCAGGGCTCGTCAAAAGGGGGCAGATGCACCCTGGGGAAGCAACGGCACATTCAGGTGTTTCTGCAGTTCTTGGGCTCAAATTTTATCTCCAAAAGCTCTACGTTTGTATGCAATCTACAGGTACGAAAGAGGAAGCAAAAGAGTTCACATCTCCTCGTAGTACAGTAAGAAAATAAGGAAAACGGATTTTAAGCTCAACGTGATGTGCTAAACCATTATCAGACATGTTACAGCCATTATTGCCTGATAATCGCAAACAGTTGGGACACACAACTCCACCTTAATCCATTTTTTTTTTCCTTCAGTTTTTGCAAGAAAAACAAAGGTCTTTTCTAACTTTAATGTGAAGATACATAATCGATATGACTTATGAAGCCAATGTCTCAATATAAATGCATCTCTGTATTTGCTCATTGCGAAACACAATGAGCTGTTAGCACTCTTTAATTTCACCTTATAAAACTAAAAAAAAAGTGACAATAGCTTTGTGTAGAAAACACAAAAAAATATTTTCCACATACATCTGTCAATACCTTAGGATAAAGGATCAGATATTCTGCTTTTCTTACTGTTTCTATGCAAACAAAAGGCACCATTCCTACTGATGAGGTTGTAAATTGGGATCTTTTTCTTTTGGGTTTAACAGAAGGTGAATGAAAAATTGCCAGGCCAGGACAAAGCAAACATTCCTGTGCTGAGTACACTACTGCATTACTGCGATCACAGCAAAGATGGATTAGGAAATACTATTGTGTGTAGTTATGAATTCACTGACAAGAAAAATGAGAACATCTAGCAAGGACTGTCTCTAAAAGCAGCTGGCAGGATACATGTTGTTACACCCAACAAAAGAATCGGACTGGTTTTAATGAAGACAAGAAATACTCACATCTCTGCAAACCCCGTAACTACGGTTAATGTCTTTGTACTTTTACCAAGCAAAGCATCCACTTGTGCACACCCCCTCTGACCCTACAGTGCATGCATTACAAACACCAATGCCACCCAGGACAGCACATCTGCCCCCTCACAGTAGAAACGAATAACAGTGTCCACGAGTGCTGTGTTGTATCTGTGAGTGAACGTTTTCACAGGGGCTGGACACCAAGCTAAGCTCGTAGTGGAATTCAGGACCCTCTCTGCAGCGAGTACGGTTCCGTTGGAGTGGTTCTTCCCCTCTCCTCTAAGCAGGTGCATCTTCTACGCGTGAGCAGGGTGGGAGCAGCCGGCGGGGCAGTGGGACCTCGCAGGGACACGTCTCTGCAGGGCACCTGGTCAGGCTGCAACGCCCAGGCGAGGGCACGGGGCACGGCAAAGCCCGGAGAACCCACCAGTGGCTCCCACGGGGTGGTGATGTTCCAGTGGCCACTGGTTTTGCTCAAGCACCCAGTTTGCAGAGTAAGAACATCCCAAGCTCAGGCAGGCGGCCCCGATGCCGGCGAGGCACCGCCGAGGGAGGAGGGCAGGCAGGGGTTCCCGCACAAACCACCAACGCCAGGAGACAACCGGCTGTCGCGGCGGCGTCTTCTCGCTCAACACAAACTGGGAAACAGCGAGGGGAGAAGGGATTTCAGATCAGCCAGAGTGACAGTGGGGACGCTCACCGCCCTCGTGGCGTTATTTCCTAAGGCCAGGATGGTGGAACCCGCTCAGTGTTTCCAAACAGGGTTTTCCTTGTCCGTCCCAGCTCTGACATTTTCCAGGCACCCGCCCCAACGTGGGCGCAGAGGATCATCGCCGGCACAAACCAGGAGCTGCTGAGCAGATGTGGACTGTGAAGGAGCTCAGAAGACAACTCGGTCTTCCTGCGTCCTCTCCCACCACAGCGTGCTGTTCAGGGTGCCGAAGCTGCTGTCGTCCTCCTCCTGCTCTTTAGCAAGCTCCACAAAAACCTGGGACAGACAGAAGGGATGTGAATGTGCCATGCTCCTCGTAGGAACTTTTTTGGGTCAAAAATAGAATTAATGCTAAAAAATCTCATGAGTATTGAATGTATTGCTTCATCTCCGAGTAGGAAGCTTTTGGTATTTTTTTTTTCTCCTTGTTCCTACCCTCCCACCTCATTTCTTCAAAAGCACCATGAAAAGGAAGTTGAACCAAATACACACTCTAGGACATTTATTGTCAGCAATAACTAATCCAGAATAAGCAGTAAGAAGCCTCAGCTTTACCCTCCTTTCAGAAATGAACAGCAATGCCTGTCTTCTGAATAAATCAGAGCAGCATTTCCACTAACACCGCAAATTTATCTTAGTCCCATCACTGCAGTTGGCATCTTAAAGAAGAAAATGGGAACAAAGAGGAGCAGGGGAACTGGCAGCCCCAAGTCACTTTGAAAAAGGGAATCCCAGTTCCCCACAAACACCCAAACAGGCACCAGCAGCCCCTCCATCCACTGCAACCTGCCCAGGCTGGACACCCGGCTCCTGCACGGCAGGGGCAAAGTGAATCCACTCCGGATTCCTGCAAAAACCCCATCAAAAAACTCGCAACACCTTCGCCTGCCAGGGTTTACTTCGACAAAATATAATTTGCTTCAACGTACCTGTTCCAGCGTTGCCTGAGAAAAGCTGTACTCCTCGATGTTGAAGGCGTGTTTTACTGTTAAAAGAATTAATGAGTGTATTGAGGAGCACTTCACTGTCTGACACAACTGGATTTCAAGCATTTTAAGCTGGTTACAAGCGCTTACTCTTCGTTTTGTAAGAAACAGACTCGGGGACACCGGTTAAAATAAATTAAAATTTGGGAGAGAAATGCGAAAACTGGCAAATATGTCAGTTATGAAAGACAAAATAGTTTCTGTATGTGACGCGTGGCAAGTGCTTAATTACCTTCTTCCAGCTTGGAAAAAGAATGTGAAAGGGACTGTACATCTTCTTTAGGAATTTTATATGCCAAAATAGAAGCAAAACTGGAACAAAGAAACAAAGCAAATTTAGCTTCAGGTAAAATTACTCAAGACAGAAATATTAATATCCAAGTACATGGATTTAAACTCATTTTCTGAAGGTTACTCCAGGCATTTTGACTCGTCAGCATCATACAGACCACAGGAACGATGCAGCTGCAGGAGACCAGCTGGTTTATAACCCATCTCAGAGATCCAGGTCCAGGTGCATCAGCTGAGATCCCCCTGAGACCACTCCATAATTTATAAGCTCTTCAGCTAAGATGCGACCCTTTATATTCTGCCTATAAACTCATGAAAGAGAAATCACTGCCCAGAACTTCCAAAGTTAGGAGGTTTTGCCTTGCAAGTGAACTCAAGACAGAGGTTGCAGGATCTCTTGGGACTCTGCATCATGCAGGGGCGCCCACAACCCAGACTCAGGACAGGGAGCTGCTCGACCCCACACATCTGCTTCTGAAAAATGAACTCTCCTCCCAAACTCCCACGTTTGAGGAATCAAACGATGCCTGCAGGGCCCTTTTTGGAGCATCTCATCAGCCAGACCCTCGAGTCCGTATGGCAAGAAACTCAAAGCTGTTGGGGGAAACCCAACCAACTCACCCTCAGTATCTCAATAGCAGTTATCTCAAACTTTGAGATACTCTTAGAAAACATTCAAGCATTTCTAGCTAAGGACTCAGTGACTCAGATTTTACCCGTTTCCCAGAGGCCCTGACCGCGGAGGAAGCCGTCAGGCAACAGCTATGCAGAAATTGAGTTTTGCTTCCTCCGTGCCGAACATCTGCACGCAGGGCGCGCAGCCACCACCCTGGCAGCTTTTGCTGGCCTGCAAAACCCTTCCTCTTTTTTTTTTTTTTTTTTTTTTGTAAATTTTAGTATCATGGCATTCCTTCCTCGGTTCCAAGAGCTGCTGAGAAATGAGTAATTTGTATTAATATGAACGTTTTCTGCGTATTTGTTAAACTTCACCTTTCCTGACGATTTGCGTTTGGGAAGATGTGCAAAATCTGGCTCTGCAGATACTCAACCTGCTGTACATCTGCTGTTTCTTTTAATTTCATTTCCAGGAAGTATCCTCTGCCAAACTTACTCTTCAGGTGTTGGACAGTACCTATACATCTACCAATTGCAGAGAGAAAATAAAGAGTTGTACATGTTACACCACACTCAAAAAGCAGCCTAACTTCTAACAAACCCTTTTTGCAGTTTAAGTTAAATTTTCCTCCAAGTTTAAAGTGCAAAAAAATAGTCTACATTTTACTGAACAGCTGTCCTATCCTCCCCACTACAACACCTGCCCACAGGGGAGGGTTTCGGTGGTACCTGAGCTGTCCAGACACCAAGATGGCCACACGGTCACAGACAGCATCCGCCTCTTCCATGTAGTGAGTGGTCAGGATAGCTGCTCTCTCCTTATTTTTAAATGCTGCTCGAATTGCCCGCCTACAAAATATAACCAAAAAAAATCCCTTGGCACATAAATCCTGGCTTAGCAGCAAAAGAGGACCATGACGGTCAAACACTGACCCTTTCTTTTATAGGCTTATGCTACTATATGGACCAATATTACTCCCACAGCAACAATTAACACCATTTTTTTCACAAAGGTGACTTGAACCTCATACTCCTTATGTTATTTTAAATATTTCTTCCAAGCTTCTAACCTCCGAGCTATTCCGGGAGACGACGTGTACCCGCCACTAAAGTTGGGTTGACTCCCAGTCTATGGCTCTCCCTAGTGTTAACAGGGATAACACATAAAATCAGACAAATTCCCCCAAAAAACCAAGCCTGTGGCCAGCGTGGCCCTGGTGGCACTCACCACATGTGCTGCTTGGCTTTTGGATCCATCCCGGTTGATGGTTCATCCAACAACGTGACCCGCGGGTTGCCCAGCATACTCAGGGCAAAGCAGAGCTGGGAGGAAGGCAGAGAGGAAGGGTAAGGACACAACGGCTGCTGGAGACACCCAAGAGCTCAAGAAGCTCCCCCGTACCTTGCGTTTCAGCCCGACACCCAGCTTCTTCGTGGTCTTCTGCAGATGGTCTTTTAAATCCAGGGCACTCGCGATGCTGGGGAAGGGGGAGAACTGCATGTGAAAAGCTGAGAGGGTGATGGTTTGGCTTCCCTCTCATCACACATGTATACGCAAAGCGTCTCATCTGAAGAACTCAGTTACAAATACTTGTATATATTCGTAGAGAAGTATAAAAAAAGCGAAGTAATAAGCAGAATCAGAGCTGGGTGCTTCCATACTAAAGCACCTGCCCTGTGTCCCAGAAAAGACCGCGGTGACAACCCAGAAAGCCCCAAGCCCTGGACTCCCCGTCCTTGCAGTCTCTGCAAAGGTCTTTGTTAACACTTTGTAACTTAAAAAAAAAACCCAAAACAAACCAGCCAAAAAACAGCTGAACACTTTGTGTGGCTGAATCTGTATCTCCCAACCTACAAATTCACACTTGCTGAATTTGCTGGGAGGATCCAATCAAACTTAAATGAAAAATAAAAAAAAAAAAATTACGTTAGGAAAAGTGAAAAAAAAACCCAACCAAACCACGAAGAAAAATATAGCTAAACCTGAAGCACTTCTATAATAAACTACTTACCGTTTTATGACTTCCTTAACATCAGACTGACTCATTCCTTTGATAGCACCATAAATTTCGAAGTGCTCCTGCAAGGTAATATCTGGCCAGAGTGGATTCGTTTGAGGACAGTACCCCACAAATTTCACTGAGTCACCTTCGCTGTTCAGGCCAAAAGAACCATCTCCCATCAGAACCTGCAAGGAAAACGTACAGACCTTACTCAATAATATTGCCATTTCAAAACTCGTTTTTGTAAAATTTTAGCAAAAACCACTTGGGAATGCTCGCAATAATAATATGAAAATTTAAATACAGATTAATTTTCTATTTAGTTTCTAGCATGTAACATACTTGCCCACTGGTTGGCTCAATCTCTCCAACGAGCATATTAATTAATGTGCTTTTCCCAGCTCCGTTGGGTCCTAACAAACCCAGTATTTCTCCTAAAGAAAGGACGACACAAAATATTACCCAAATGGATTTAAGAGTTGTTTCTTGTAAATAAGACGGCTCAACAGTAAGTAGCTGAACTCTAACCTTTTTTTACACAGAGAGAAACATGTTTTGTTGCCACTTTCTTTATTTTTCTCCCCAGAAGAAATTCCTTTCTTTCATCAAACTCTTTGTGCAAGCTGCTGACCAGGATTGCTGGCACCTAAGCAGAGAAGAGAGAATCAGCTGCAGATTCCAGTGGCTCTGGGAAACCTCCAAAAGGGGATTTCAGGTGGTGCCCGTGGGTGCACGGCATTACCTCCTCACTTTTGGGGCCACTCAGTATTTCTTGTACTCGCAGCCTCTCCGCCTTCACGTCTTCATCTTCGTTCTCGTCACGCGAGACATCTGGAAACTTCCAGGTTTTGGCTTTTGTAAAACATTTTCTACGGGGAAGAAAACAAGATGATGCGTCTGCTCGGCATTCAGTCGAGGTTTGCTCACTGCTTTGAGGCAGAAAGCAATCTGTGTTTGCTGAAGTCAGGAGTGACACGTTTCTGCAGCGCATCTGAGAAGCCCCAAAAGAACAGAAAGAGCTGACGACGACTGCAACTGTCCTCTTTATGCCAAGCTCTTGGTTGGGGTATGGCATCTCCAGCCATGCAAGGGGAAAGGAAGTTCCCCTATTTTCATATAGGGGAAGTCCTTACAAAATTCCCAATTTTGTACGGATATAACTTTAAAGGAAGTAAAAAAAAAAAACCTATTTCCGCACTTTAGCGACTGAATTTCAGACACCTAAACATAGGAGAATGAATTCTTTGGACAATTGGGATGCGATATAACCAAAGGCGTTTTATTTTGTGCAATATCCCCCACAGCTATACGCTGCATACTCCAGTTTCATCACCAGCATCGCTTTTTACACCGGCTTCTTTGGACTGCTGCTTTTTACAAAGTCTAGTCGACAGAGACACACCTGAAAAACGGATCCTCTCTAACTGTCCTCCCTCCATTTTTCAGCTCAAAGCATCGCAGCAGGAAGAGCCACATGACACACTGCAAATAGGGCTAAAACAGACAAATAAAGTTGTGGTTACTCAGAGCTCTGCCAGCCCTCCAAGGCTGGTGAGCCTATAGGTGACCCCACCAGTGTGATGAGTGACAAGAAGCTCCAGCTCTTCACCACCACAGAAACGCTGAGGTTTCTGAGAAGATGAAATACATTATTAGATTCTGCTCAGTGGGTCAACGCTGAGGATGCACAACCAGAGCCTGCTTAGATTTAGTGACAATTATTTGGGGTTTTTGGAGGGAGAAGAGACTGTCCCCTGCTCTGGAGTTTTTGCTCCATCAGCATGGGCTCCCATAATCATCAGGATTGTCACCATCAATACGACTACCGAAGGAGCAGATGTTGAGTCGGTAGGCACAGCAGCTTTTACTTTTACTGTTTGTTCTGCAACAGGTTGCAAAGCTGTGGGCTCCGGTGACGCTGAGCATTAGATCAAATCTTTATGAATAAAGATGCCTGAACAGAAGGGCCCTCCCAGCAGGAGTGAGCGATTCTCTACAGCAAACATGGCAGATAATCAAATAACCACGCTTACAGCTATAACTGCTACCAGGAGCCGGTCCCACGGGTCGTAGTATCCTCCGTTCTTCCGCTTGCCTTTCCATGAGACCTGGCAGTGCAAAGAAACCACGTTCGAGCAAACATTCACATCCCAGAATATTCGACATCGCACTTTAATCTCAAATCAGTCATTTATGTTGCTCAAGCCCTTTCGGAGCTCTGCAGAGACCCTGCTTGCGCAAATCTGACACCAGTAAACTTCTGAAGTCCCTGGGGCTGCCCCCAGTTTAAAGCCACCAACTCCCAGTTAACCCACCTCCCACCACTGGGTTCACTCAGTCCACAGGCCGAGAAACGCACGGTTTTCCTCTCAGATATTGAATGGAAGACTTGTTTCTTTCCTCATTTTAAAACTGCAGCACTTGGACTTAGAAGAAAAAGGTGACTTTTCAGCCGTACTTGCTATTCTTCATGAGTTAAATGTCTACGGGTGACATTACACCACTAGGTAGGTAACTGCTGCCCCTTTATCATTAAAGACACCCACCCAATCCCAGCCATCTACAAGTGCTCTGGAGAGCACCTCCTGTCTCCCCTCACCTTTATAAAACAAATCAGACAGCCAATAAGAGGGTAAATAGGAATGAAGATGGAGAAGACATAATGCAGGATGGTGGTTACCAGGTAATAGTCCAGAAAAAAGGCCACTTCAGTGACAACCGTACAGAGCAAGGCTGTCTGTACAAAAGAAAAGAAAAGAAAAAGTCCATTTTCATTCAGTACAGACTCTCTAAGCATGTTATCGAATGCGAGGCACATTTTTTAAAGCTTTTATCATTTAGGAAATGGCAGTAATACGAAGACGTCGGTAAATGTTTCACATTTCTTGTGCATTAAGGACACACAGTTAAACACAGTAACTGGGAAGCCTCTTGTGGCTTTGGGGATAGCCAATCTGCTTAGCTAACCAAAATCAAGGTAAAGTTACTCACCACTGAAAATATAAACGACCAAAATTCTTTTGTATTCTGGACTTTTCTAAACGTGAAGGAGACCACGTAAGTGAAGAGCACGACTGATGGGACATAACCAATCAGGCAAAAAATCTGCAAAGATAGGAAAGGTTTCCTCAGGAAATGTGAAGCATCCAGGGGTGAAATTTTTGTATAAGTATCAACTAGAATTACTTTAGCGTGCCACATAACTCTGGATTCATCTTTGTCACTTAATTTGATGTATTTTGCCACCTTGGTACACACCGCATACACCACTAAAGACACAAATAAAAGAGTATGTGGATAGGCAGGAACTGCACTCATTGCATTTCTTTTAAACTATTTCTCTTTTTTTTTTTTTTTTTTTATAACACAGGCTCTCATAAATGCTGACCTGAAGATTTTGACAAATATTAAGAATTCTACCTTCAGCTTTAGAATTTTCCTCGAAATTAAAAGAAGGGTAGATGCACTGGTAAGAAAAAAAAAAAAACCCACAGCGCAACGGTCACATCCCAAACCTGATTAACTCAGAGCTTCTGGGAAAGCAACTAGGAAAATCTGATTCTTCTCAATTACAGCCAATATCTCAGGGAAGACTGCTCTGAATATAAAAGACACGAAGACTTGTAGACTCTTCAGTTTAATCACATGCTGCAATTCATTGCGGAGCTGGTCTGTGTTCAAAGTCACCGTAACCTTGTCATTAGCAGCAGGCTGATGCAAATGGAGCAATTATCAATCGGCAGCAAAGAGCACAAAGCAGACTGAGCGAGCAGAGCAAAAAAGAACGGAGTATTTCCTTGGAAGATCCTTGGAAGCTCCGTTTTATTCCAGTTCTAAACGAAACTCCAAAATTTGACTTTTTTTTCCCCATGAAAAGCAGGACTATTTTGCCTTTGGTGCAGCCTGACTGGTGTGTCCACTTCAGCATTTTCCCTTTTTTTAGACATTTTTTTAGACACTTCCCCTGTATATCAGTTGGAAAAAGTCTGCCGAACCACCTAATAAAAATAAACACTTGTGGAAAACAACACAACCGTGCTCTCACGTCGCCACCGCGCTCACCACAGCAAGGAACTTGCCCACGTAGAAATAAACGCCGTAGTGAAAGGCGAAGAGGCTGCCTATCATCAGGACAAGGATGGAGAAGAACAGCGGGAGGTCGACAACAGCTTGTCCAGTCCAGTAAGCAGAAGGATAAAGCCCCGCAATCTTCAGCTGCGTGTACGCTTTGATCTGCACCAGGAAAAGACAACACGACGTTAATTAAACGTCAATTAAAATTAACACTGTGTTCATCTGCCTCAGCGCGTGATCAGGGTCTCGTTTTTCCCCTCGAATACGCTGCTTTTGGACTGGTGTGGCATCAGCGTGCTACCTGCTTATTGCTGATTTGAGCTGCCAAAAAACATTTCCATAGGAAAAAAAACACGCCTTTTCCCCAATCGGCTCCACCCCAGGCAGGAAACAGCAGTTATACCCGTACTCTCTCTCATGGCAAAAGACACTATTTAAAACACCTCTTCAGATTTTCCCCAGTCCCAAGATTTTTAAGTTCTTGTGCAGTCTCTGAATCTGGGAGTTTACCTTATGGTTTTCTGCATTGTCCATGGCAAAATAGGGCGGCATTCCTGTAATAATGATTCCCAGTAACACGGCTTCAAAATAGATCTCCAGTCTGAAAATTGTGTCTGGAAGATTCTGAAATCGAAATCAGGTTTCTTCAATACCAGAACGTGAGTGACCAAAAAACCCCCCCAAAAAAAGCGTTTAGAATTGGAACGTGACTGTAAATACGAAAACATTTATTCTGTGTATCTCAAGAGGAGTATGGAGAAAAATACTTACGGAAGCTTTTGGAGTATTTATAAGCATGTCTAATAAAATTCCTAGAGAATTAATCTCCCGTGCGGGTCCTCTCCTCTCCCAGAGGCCACCCCAGCTCTGCCCAGAGGCAGCAGAGCCCCCCGCAGCCTCCGAGAAACGCAGGCAACCTGCAACAAACCCTTAACAAATCCCCCCCCCCAAGACATCCTCTTTCCAAACCCCCTTTCCTCCACTTCCACAAGGTGCAGAACAAAACCCCGGCACTTCTCAAGTCCTCTTCAATTCTGCGAAGGTACCACCAAGGCTTAACTCCTCAGGCTTTGACTACCAGGGCCCAATCCTTCCCAGCCCTGGGTGCTGCAGACAGCCCCAACCAGCTTCTCTCTTCGTTCAGGACGTGGTTTTGCACCCTCCTCTCACCCCGGGGATGCTCTGCCATCCTCCCCATGTTTAAGGCCGCTGCTCACCTGAATGAAGGGGTTGCTCCAGATTTGGATGCTCTCTGTCACGTTTAAATTGCGCAGGAGCAGATTGCTGACAATATTCATCAAAACGGGCAGGGAATGCACCATGGTACTGTTGAATATGATCGTGAAAACATAGTTCTGGAAAGGAAAGTATGCGCTGGGTTAATTCTTCTGCACGAAGGGTAAAGACCCTGTGAGAGCTCTCCGACGGGCTTAATTAAACCTGAATATTGGGAAAAAAAAAAAAAATCTTTGCATAATAGAGTATGCTTTGCAGGAAGCTCTGGGTTGCTCAGGGTGCTAATAGCATGTAACCTAATTCAAGAAAATAGTTATGCTCACGGAGAACAAATTATTTGAAATAAATTCCCCCAATTTTTTATGCTACTGCGGTGCTATCACAATTACAGTCTGAAAAACAAAACACATGACTCGCACTCCTATGTTCTTGCTAATGCATTTAAAAACCAGACAGGCAAAAATTTACGTTAGCTAAGGGCTGCATCGTCACACTACTATTAACAGTTTGTAATGAATAAAAATGGGAACAAGAGAGAGCTGGCATACTGCAAAGCAGTTCCTTTGCAGGAGATTAAATACGACCCCGATGTTCAAATCTTTCTGACACTCCTTCAGCGACCATACTGAAATGAATACTTACAACCCAAGAAACTCATTCTTCTTTACACATGAGAGCATCATGGAATTATACTTCTGTCAAGTGGTATAATTCAGCCAGTAAAAGGAAAAAAAAAATAAAAATGCCTATGCCAGGTCTCTTGTGAAGTAAAATATTTCTCTTGGCTTTTTGTATCCTTGTGGGGAAGAAAAGGGGATGGAAGTTTTATTAGCCTACCATTATTATCACTATGGAAGAACATTCATTTTAATAATACTTCCATTCTGTTAATAGAAGTCTTCTTTCCAGGCCTCTTGTACAAGCAGTATTATAAGATATAATTCGATTATATGACTCAATACGACCTTTCAGGCAAGAGTACAACAAACCCAGCCCCTAACCAGCTGCCTACCTGCTCTCTGGGATACGACCAAGCTGGTCAGTCTGTCTTACCTGTCTGGATTCAAGGTCAAACACATTTAAAGCTGCACTGTGAGGTGCAGCTGAGACGTAATCACTGTCATTGAACATCTCCAAGAGTATGTTCATGCTCCCAAGAGAACGGACAATGTCATCGATATCTGATTCTGGTGTAAAACAGAGAAAACCTAATTACTCATCACCAGCTTAGAGTATTTTACACAAAATTACTGATGCTTTTGCTCACTGATACACGTCTATGATGAAATGTCACTGTGAACATGCCCACTAAAGAGAGTCCTCTGCTACTCTGAACGTGAATGATTTTATTTTGGCCTCCCATTCAAGAGCCTTGCAAGGATTCAAGAAAATTTTCTGGTTATATTCTCCAACTAATTTGTGCAAGTCAACTGCAGCAGTGAGGAAGCAGAGCTGCCGACGAGCATTACCATGATACCCAAAGTTTCAGTTGAACAGAGAATTAGCGAAGAGAGCAGGAAACCAGCAGCACTTTTGATAAGAGTGTCTGGAGAAATGAAGTTGTATTAAGCACAAATTCCCAACAGCTCAAACAGATGCTCGTTTCTATTGCCCAGATGGCTACTATGCACTTTTAAAACATCCTAGATTGAAACAAAAAGGAATTTTCCAAAGTGCTTTGTAGCAGGATTTTAATGTTGATGTATCTCAAGCTTTCACACGAGTCATCTTTCTCTCTTGAGACCTAGTGAGCACAAGGCTACCGGCCACGGGAGGAGGAGGAAGGTCTCTGAACCAAACTCTACAGCACAAAGGATAATCACACTCTCTACCAGCTCTCAGTACTTGAAAACTCTTCATTTGACCTAATTTCAAAGAAAAACCTTGTCCTCAACCGCAGAAGTAGCACACACCATCCCTCCCCACGGCAGGAAATGTTAGACTGAAGAGAGATGGAGACAGGAGCTACCCCCACGGAGCATCTCTGCCCTCCTACCTGTGGAGTTCTGCAGCAGGAGGCGACTCCTGTACTTGTGATAGTCCTCTCCAGGCTTCAGCAAGTACAAATCTGGGGAAAGTTTGATAGCAGCTACAGAATTTTTGATGATGTGGTGTATGAAAAACAATAAAATCTGAACTACAAGGAAAATCAGAAAAAGCAACAACCTGAAAGAAATAAGAGGTTTAGTTTTATTAAAATTCAGTAAAAGCCAATCCAGTTTACGTGCATGCTTTAAAACATCTCCCTTGCCCCCCCCCCCTGCCCCCCCCCCCCCAAAGAAGCATATATTCAACAGTAACAGATAGCTTCACACTTAACTCTTTTTTAAATGTAACTATGGGGAAAAAAAAATAATTTAATTGCATCTTGCCCTTTCTCTGGTGTCATTCAAACAGGTTTTGAGAATTTTATATACAAATGAGAAAGCCCCAATACTTACATAACTCTCACACATTTATTTTCCCGCTTGAGACTAAGGAAATGAACTTTTGCTATGGTGGAAACCTGCTTCTTCCAGAGGGCTGTATTGCTCATCACCGACGCCTTTGTCTCGGAGAGCATCAGGAGGCTCTGCTCCATATCGTCAAGGGATTTGGTGTCCATTTCATCCTGCGTTTGCTGGGAATTGAACACGCTATAATCTGAAAAAGAAGAGAGCAGAACTCTACAGATGTGATGATCTGACAGAGTTACGTGGTTTGAAATGTTGGGGCTGGAGAAAACTGGGTGGCTATCAACTCCCTCCCCCTTGCTATCGCAGAAGCCATCTAAACATCTCTCAGCCCCAAGGTCAATGACACCCATCTACCCCAGATGATACAAATTTCTGCCACTCGAAAGGTGGAACTCGCCCCAATTTCACACCATTAGTCTGTGAATGCACCTGTATTGCTCCACATCAGCACGTTCAGCTGTTAAGCTCTCTGACACCAGGAAAAAGCTTTGCGGAGCAGGATAGTTTACTAGTCTGTATCACAAGGAAAGCTCTAAAAAGGACTGAGAGTGCTTAAACTGTTCAAAGTTGACATCAAAAGAACTGATTCATTCTGGAGTAATATTAAGCAGCCCAAACTTTTCGTTTGAGTTGGAAGTTAATTTAAAGGTGGGGAAGAAAGATAAGTTCAGCTATTTCAACCTTAAGTGCAGAATACTAATATTACCGTTCATGCAGAACGTTGGATATAAATTTTATACTGCGCATTTACAATTTCTTGAAAGTAAGCTCCGTTAGGAAAATAAAGAACATTTTAAAAAGCTGGCCACAGAAAGCGCAACTGTAAAGCAAAGAAGTTAGATCTAAGTCCACCGGATGAAAATTACTGCAGGAACAGCCAGTAAAAAGCTTTTTCCCTGAATCCACCCAGAATCATTTCCCACCCAACTCGCTGCTTTTGCGTGTTTTTCATGTTACATATTTTAGAAGCCTGGAATGCTGTGAGACTGAACGTGCCCCGTGCTGCTGGATGTAGCACTCGGAGAGGTTTTTTTTTTTACTTTTACCTCCATGGTAAAACTCTTTCTGGCAGTGATATGGCATGGCAATTCTACACTAACTAAGACGAAATGAAATATGAGGGAAAACAGGAAAACAGCCACGGTCCATCCCACCTGCTTGATCAATCTCTGCCTCAACTTCCAGCTTCAGATAGACATCCTCCAGCGTCGTCATGGAAACGCCATAGGTGATAACACCCAAGTGGGAATGAGTGTCGAGGTCAGAAAACAAGCCTACAGACAGAGTGAGAAGTGTTGGTTGCTCTGAAACAGGATGACATCGTCTCCCAAGAGATCTTCCAGCCCAGCAGAGGCATCCCCAGAGCTTTCTGCGTGGTACTCTAGAGAGCAGGTAACAGGTTAAATAATGGTTGCTTAATTACAAAGACACAGGTCATGGCTTGAGAACCAAGGTTGGGATAAGCTGCTTTTAGCATCAAACCTCAACCTCTGTGGTCAAGTGTAGGAAACGTGGCGTGTTTTCCCCGAGCTGTGGTGTTCATGAAAACCACCTGAGCACCCTAAAGCCCCTGGGCTGAGAGCTGCCTCCTGCCTGGCTGCGAGAGCCCCTCTCCTGGGAACATCACACATAGGGACTGCAGGACAGCTCGTCCTACCTAGATCCCAGCCAAGGCACCGAGAGATTTTACAAATAAAACCATTGAGTAACTTTATAAATTTGTGTATATATAAAAATAAATACCCAGATCTGCAAAGCCAGCTTAACTGGGCAGGAGATCCTGGACAGCATGCATAGCGTGAAGACCAAAATGATGTTCAGAGTAAGAGCACTTAGTAGCACCTTGGGATAAAAAACCACTATTAGGCTCTTGTCAGCCCCATGAAATGAAGGACTTGACAAAACGAGGAGCTTCAAAGCCAAGGTCACACTGCAGAGAAATGCAAATGTGTAAAATGGGAAGAGCAGCTGGATACTCCGAAATTTCTTCTTCCCCAGTAGCTGAGGCACACTCCTAACCTCGGCTTCTCCTCAAAATACTTCAGGGGAATTGATTCAATCTCACATAAAGACGCCTGTTTTTCAAAAGTACACGCAGTGGCTGCTAAAGATAAAGCTAATAAATTATTAACTAGTTAAATGCAATGGGAGAAAAAAAAAATAATTATGAAATATGAGGCGCACATTCACATCAGTATTGATTCTCCCTCAGCTTTCCACATAGAACAGAGAACACACTGTTTCTTCCATTTTCTCCCGGGAAGTGAACAAGGAGCCCCGTGTAGGATTGTATCAGATAATTGCTGCCATCTAGTGAAATCAACACATTTGTTCCACGCTCCTTCTCACCAGTGAATTTTCAGGCAGTGACACAACCCTCTTGGTGGCTCCCAACAAGGGGGATTGATTTTTCTAGGACTTGGGGCTTTCTGGCTTCGTGCTGGAGGCCAGCCCTGCTCATTAAAACACTCCGCAAGGAGAGGATGCTTCTACAGGACAAGGGATTTCTCAGACAAAAGGGTGTCTCTTCACCCTTCTGCTAAAGGCACCTCCTCAGCACTTGCTGCTGGGTTCCCACATCCCTCGTGACCTACCACAGCCCCCTTGGAGGAGGCAACAAGGTCCCCACTCATCTGAGAAAGACCTCACTGACTGACCACCGGTCAAAGCACAGCCAAACGAGAAATACACAGAAAAACCCCACATAAACGCAGACGTGAGGATTCAACAGGAATTGCAGGCTACAGCCACGCCTGATGGATTTCTCTTCTACAGCCGTTGAACCCCGCAGCACAACACAACCACCAATACCTGCAAACTTGTCCATGTCCCTGAGGGGCAGCGTGTAGACGAGCTGCTCGTCGTTCTCCTGGATCAGGCTGGCTGCAGGTATGTGCTGTCTTATCAGCGAGGTTGTAGCTTCCGTGTTGCAGTAGGCATCGATGTGCATGCTAAGAAAACAATACGACGAGAAAATTGGGTTGTTGAAGCTTGTTTTTTCTCCTTACAGCCACATCAGGATGATCAGCCAGCAGAACGCCAAACGTTCAGTATGAAGATGATAAAAGGCTCTTTGGGAGGGGTGGGGGGGGTGTGAAGCAGGAGTGCTATCTTATAGATTTTGACGGAAAAAATAAAAAAAAGATACATGATGTCACATAACAGCACACACACACACACACAAATACCTCAAGCGGTAGCCAATTCCCCATTTGCTTTTGAGAAAGAGAGAAGATCCAAGGCATTTCAACATCCCTTGAGAAATCACAGCTTTACGATCTAGAAACAGAAATCAAGAAGGCCCTTTGAATCAGAAAATTGGCAGTTTGCTCAAAAAAACCCAACTATTTCGAATAAAGGTGTATTCCGTGGTTAGAGAAGCATCACTTTTTGCTCTATAAGGTGACAATCACTCAGGAACTGGGTACCCCCAGGGGGTCACGGTAGGACTCACCGGCCAGGATATCCGCCTCGTCCATGAAGTGGGTACTGAAAACGGTCACACAGTTTGCTTTTCTGTTTTTCAGGAGGTTCCAGACGATGTGCCGGGAACACGGATCCATACCCGCCGTCGGCTCATCCAGCAGTAAAACCTTTGTGCAAAACCAAGAAGCATTTGCAAAGCCATACCCACCCTGGTATTGACCTCAGGAAACCCTACCTAGGTAACAGATATCGGGATTTTTTCTTCGAAGCCTGCTAATTAGTCCTCTAAAACATAGAGGAAACTAATTCTAGAGTAAGCAAGGCAGCTATCTTCACTATACTTCATATAAATTAATCTTCTGTGGTGACAAACAGAAAAACCACGTAGTAAGTCAACGCCACTGTCTGTTTTATTCTGTTTCCAACACAATTCTGTTTAGCTATTGATTCGCTCCTTCTATCAAGGGATGGTTAAATATACAGGCATGCCTTTAAAATCCCAGATTTTAAAATCTCTGATTCAAAAATCACATTTTTGAATACAGATCTAAAAGCAGTCCCCATTCTCACAGGCCAGAAATAATGGATCTGTGACACAAAAGAGCTCTCTGGCTCCGTCCCTGCTCTAAGTGTGTGGATGGTTTTGCAAGCAAAGTCTCCAACAGTTTCACTGTTGAGGGATAGATGTTACCTGCCAGAAATGACACAAAACTTGTCACACTATTTATTTCACAAAGATCAAATCCAGAGCTACAGCCATTATCTAATCCATTAACATTCTCAAGCATAAAGGTTGAACTATTGAAATGATTTCAATTGTTTGAACCATAAATGAAGAAGAAAAAGGGCGACAGATGTTCAAAGTAACAATTTCTTCATCTTGAATATTATTATATGCATTAGTCAGTTTTGACAAGAGACATCGAGCCCGAGGATGTCAGTGACATCAAGCTTGGGAACTCCTCCATCCCACTCACCTTTGGGTTCCCGAGAACAGCAACTCCCACCGACAGTCGCCTTTTCTGCCCCCCGCTTAATTTTTTAGCTTGATTGTCTCTGATAGGCTGCATATCCAAATCCAGCAACACCTTCTGCACCTTTAAAACATAAGAAACACGTTCACTGTTAACAAAATGCAGCTACCATTTTTTTTTTTTCACCAGACTATTAACGATTAATGACGTTAACTGTTCCTAATCCAGTGTATTCTGCACCCAAACTGCACGCCCTGCTAAGGAACCTGCACACCCAGAGCAGGGTCTGAAAATCCAGCAAACCCAAAGCGGTTAAAAGGCGTCGATGCTTGAACACAAATGCTCGGATTTAAAAAAGGTTTCATCAGCATTTTAGTTTCTTAGCAAAAATCAACAGTTTATCTTTGTAAAAATATCTGTCTGTAGCTCTTTTTCTATTGTACGGCAAAGGAATATCTCCCTACAAGCTTGCCTTAAGGAAATATCTGTGCAATGTACGGGTATTTTACCCTCCAGGTTAAAAATGAACATAACAAGACAGTATCTATGCCCAGCTGACTTACCTCTTGTATCAAATCGTTCTGAGGGATTCCCTTAATCGCAGCAAATATGGAGAGATTCTCCTCCACCGTTAATATATCAAAGTGTATGTCGGACTGAGGGCACACCCCCGTTATCTGCCGCACTTCAAGCATTTCATCGATTTCGGAGACTTTGTGCCCATAGACGGAGACAAACCCTAAAAAAAAAAAAAAAAAAAAAAAAAAAAAAAA